CATTGGTGCCGTGACCCGGATGGGAGTGAGGTCCAGGGGGGTGAGTGTAACGGAGGCCAGCGGTAGGTGCTGTGCAGGTAAACCTCACTCCCCTGATTTCAAGAGACGCACTAGCGGCTGACGCTAGTGGATGCAGTCTTTAGCCTCCGTGTTAGTGCGTCCGCCTCCCATGCCGGAGACCCACTCGGAGCGAGAACGAGGTGTGGCAGTGAGGACCCGGGAGAGAGGGGTTACACGTATAACAGCGAGAACGTGGAAACTCGGAAAATTCCGTGCTTGGCAGGGAAAGAGAAATAAACCTCCACGACTTTTCCAAAACTTTCTGGGTTTATTAATTTTTCCAAAACTTTTCCAAAACTTTCTGGGTTTATTAATTTTTCCAAAACTTTTCCTTTTCCTGGAAATTGCCATTTTAAATTGCCATGACTTTCCCAGGTTTTTCATGACCGCACGAGCCCACACATATGAATGGCTTCTCTCTCGTGTGAATCCTCATGTGGTTATCTTTACATGTTAGTCATTTTCCACACATTTGAATGGTTTCTCTATTGTGTGAATTCTCAGGTGAATCTTAAGAGTTCCTTTTTGTGAGAAGCTTTTCCCACACAGTTTGCAGGTGTACGGCCTCTCTCCAGTGTGAAGTCTCATGTGAGTGCTGACGCTATTTTTATAACGGAACCTCTTTCCACACTGATCACATGAGAACAGCTTCTCTCCAGTGTGATTTCTCATGTGGTAATTAAGGGTGTTTTTACGCGTGAAACTCTTTCCACACAGAGTGCAAGTATAAGGTTTCTCTCCCGTGTGAACTGTCGTGTGGACTTCAAGGCTTTGTTTATCAGTGAAACTTTTTCCACACTTTCGGCAGGTGAAAGATTTCTCTTGAATGTGAATCTTCATGTGGTAATTAAAGGTGTTTTTATGTGCAAAACACTTTACACATTGGGTGCAAATGTAAGGTTTCTCCCCAGTGTGAATTCTCTTGTGGACTTCAAGGCTTTGTTTTTGAGTGAAACTTTTTCCACACTGTTGGCAGGTGAAAGAGTTCTCTCTAGTGTGAACTCTCATGTGATTCCTAAGGTTTAGTTCTGTTGTAACGCACTTTCCACACTGTTGACAGGTGAAACGCTTCTCTTCAGTGTGAATTCTCATGTGGACTTCAAGGTGCACTTTTTGAGTAAAACTTTTTCCACACTGTTGACAGATGTAAGGTTTCTCTCCAGTGTGAATTCTCATGTGGACTTCAAGGCTTTGTTTTTGAGTGAAATGTTTTCCACACACTTGGCAGGTGAAAGAGTTTTCCCCAGTGTGAACTCTCATGTGATACCTAAGGTTTAGTTCTGTTGTGAAGCTCTTTCCACAATCTTGGCAGGTGAATGGCTTCTCTCCAGTGTGAATTCTCATGTGGACTCTAAGGTTTCCATTTTGAGAGAAACTCTTTCCACACTGTTGGCAGGTGAACGGCTTCTCTCCAGTGTGAACTCTCATGTGGAGTACAAGTTTTCGTTTTTGACTAAAACACTTTCCACACTGACAACAAGTGAATAAACTGTTTGATTTGGTCATCTGAACTCTTTTTTGTGAGGAAGTCTTTTTAGTGGATTTTTCCCTAGTCGTGAAATCATGATGATTTTTGTCTTCCATCTCATTCAGCTCTTGACTCTCCACTTTCAGCACCGTGAGGTCTAAAGCGAAAAAAGACAAATACAAATTAGCCCAAATTTGAGAGAAACAGTATTTCAGTCAGGATTTAAGCCAATTCGTAGCACAGAAACCTTCCTTACCACGTTCCTTACTATAGTTACATCTATCTTTAAGTGCTGAGTAAAACACAGGCTAATTTTCATTTTTAGGTCAACTATCCCTTTCATTATTGAACAAAAAAAAATCTATACATAAGGTGCTAGACCTCAATTTAGGTACTGTTATGACATTTTCTACATATAAGAACCCGGGTGTTGTGATGACAGCTGGAACTTTACGGTTTGCAATGTTGGTACACAAAAAAAATGTACACCTGCTCTCAATCATGTGTAAATGGTATGTAAAACATCTGAATATTTTGTTTACTTTTTTTAGGCAAACCGGTGACACTGCATTTTGATAACACTATATGTACCATAATAATATTTCATGAGTTTGTTTGCCCATATGCTATGCAATATTTAAGCTACTGAGGTTAAAATTAATTGGCTTGCTGTCAGCAGTGGAGGGGCTTCAACTCCAGCTCTGAGTAACTAGTGCTTGGAAAACAAGTATGAATGGCAAGATATCTAAATTATGTTGGTGGAGTCGAGGAGATGGAGGGATGCTGAAACGGCAGATGTGAGGCATATGGCCAATTATTAGTTGTAATTAATGGGTGGGGATTACACTAATTGTGAATAAGTGTGCAAACACCCTTTTTACGAATGGCAGGAAATCATTAACATACTCATGTTTAACGATCAAATCTGAGGTTTATGATGTGTTTGTGAATGTGGAGGATAGTTTTTGAGAAGGTCCATTTTACGTGCAAATTACTACAATAATTAGCATAATTAAAGTTTCAAGAATGATATTTGCATGTGACTTATTTATTGCATCATTCAATGATTATTTACTACTATTTTTGTTATCATGATGATTTGTTCATAACCAAGTATTTTCCCCCTCTACATTTGAGGCTCTGAATATTGTTAGCTTCCTTGTGCATTGCAATAAATGTTTTTACCCGTTTGCTCCTCGGTCTCTTCTTGTTTCAGACTGAATACTTCTTCAACCTTCACGTCTTCTCTCTCCTCTTTTATAGACGCCATCTTTGTTTGTTCCTCAGTATCTTCATGTTTGACTCTGAATGTTTCTTCAATCTTCACGTCTTCACTCTCCTCTTTAATAAACACCATCTTTATAATAGTGCGTCTCTCAGTCGCTTCAGCAGGAGTTTTTCTGTGTGTTTAAGATGAGAATAATTAACAGAAAGATAATAAACCCAAACTAGATCTCTGGGGTGTCTCAATCAGCTCCCTAGTTCAGTAGTCAGCACACTAGTAAGGGAGTCAGTCAGAGGGAGAGTTAATGCACTTAAATCACCTCATTAGCTAATAAACCCTTAAAAACTAACGCTACAAATTAATAATAGAATGCAAGTCATATCAATTTATAGTTAGATGATTACACATTTTTTTGTTATCGTCTTAAAAGACGTTTGTTCTCTTTGAATTTACAGTGTTTTTATAAGCATTTGGTTCAGTTGAGCTTCAAAAGGCGTGTTTATATCGCACTACATAGGGAGCGAAACGACGTTTATATCGC